ACTTATTCAATATCGATTAAAGACCTTTTTTCCTTACTTTTAGCAAAAGGATAAGAAATATTCTACTCTAATCCATTTTTCGTCTTCAGTAGCTACTTTAATATTTATCAGACCAGATCTTATAATACGATATTTTGTTAGAGTGTAAGCTTTTAACTCCAGAAGCAACTGTTTAAGCTTATGGATAGCAAGGGATTTATTGATTTTTTCTTCAACTTATTTTAGTGAAACTACATTTTTCGTTATGAGTGTTATGAGTGGCGGAAGGGTATTCCTGGGTGGAATAAACGAAGTACCTCTGGTGTATACTCCTGGTAGCCCCCCTAAGCGTGAAATCCGGCTGAAGTGAGCAGGCAGTCGGGGCTAAGTCAGACGTCTCTTATTTTCCTCGAATCAATTGAAGCTGCTCCCTTGCTACTACCATAAAACCAATTTTGAACTCGTGCCTTCATCTGCATCGACCGTCGCACAAACTAATGAGGCGCGCTGACTGATTTAAGCAGAGGGCCATGTCTGAGAAGCGGATTACAGTCTACTACTCATATTTGTAATGATAAATCTCTTAATATTATTCAGTGCAATATCAATGGTCTTTCTACCCCAGCCATGAAAGTCAAACTGCAAAAGGTATTGGATCTAGCGAATGATCTTGACGTACCCTGATATAGCCCTGCAGGAAACTAAGCTCAGGCAACAATCCTCTCTGAAAGTAAAAGACTTCACAGTATATCGTATAGATTAGACCCAGCAGAGAGAGAAGCTGCCTGGTTCTCCTCATCAGAAATTTGAATTTCAAAAAAAATTTCGCAGCAGTGGTGACCTTGAACTGCAGGATATTTCCATATTCAAGATCAACCAACATATTCAAAATGTATCAACCACCTAACTAGACAAATCTTCTGGAGAACTTCTTGAATTTTACAAACAAAAACATCATTTTTCTGGGTGATTTTAATGCTAAACACTTATCCTGGGGTTTCTCCACCAACAACAAGAAATATAGTGATCTGCTGGAAGCAGCTGATGACAGGGTTTTAAATTTTTCTCAATGATGGTTCATCTACATACACGTCTTTTAGTTATGAAACTTCTGAGGCCTTAGACATCACACTTATATGCCCGGATTTACATCATTTTTGCAACTAGACTGTCATCAAAAACATTAGCAATGACCACCTACCCATCATGACTAATAAAAGGGATAGCAAGTATTGTTATGGGATCATACCTGTTGACACTAGGAAATTCGAATAAGGTATAGATATAGATATGATCGTAGAAGGTATAGATATGATATCAATATGTATGATCCATCAATGTGTCAAAGGGGGAAATGTATTGTTATGAATAGATTTTTGAAGTGGGGACATCTGAATTTCAACTAATGTCCATCTCCAAGCGTTTGGCGAATGAAAGAGGTTTCGAATTATAGTTCTCTTATATTATAGTATTACTAGTGGGCTGCTCCCCCTGCTCGCTAATGCTCGCCAACCCGCGAAAATTGCTACGCAATCTTATATGGTTTGCTTCACAAACCAAGCTCGCTTCGCTCGCTACTAACTTAGGTACATTTCAAATGCACAAAATTCTAAGAATTCAAAACAATCATTCAAATCCATATAACAACTTTTTTTTAAAAAAAAAATTACATCTTTTTAGTAAATACTAAGTCATTAAAATAAATTTGAATTCAAATAAATGACATGTAATTCGTTAAACCTATTAGAAATGTGCTATAGTATAAAATCTTAAGATAAAATTTCTAAAACTGATATCTCTTTAAAAAGGTTAAAATTTTGGCTATAATTAAGTATATTAAAAATTGAAATAAGTGAATTGCAATGGAAAAACCTGCATAAACAACTATATTCTAGTAAAACAAATAAATTCGTGATATAAATCAAAAATCGTCAAATAAATTCGTAATAAATAAATTCGTGAAAAAAAGCGCTTTCGACAAAATACTAAAATAGAGATCTATCGACAAAGACTACTCACTTATGCCTAGCTTATGCTCTCTCTGGTTATTTCAGTTTCCGTTTTTAAAAGCGCTATATGTTGAGCCATCTCAGCTAGATTTGGCAATCATTTGTCGATTTTCTAGCGTTGCCATTCGGGGAGTTGTAATGAGGCTTTTTTTTGTCGCCGTGTAAGAGAAATATATATATAGATTAATTATAGCAACTCCTAAGGATTATTCCACCACGTGTTGTCAATATTAGCAACCAGGATTAGTATATGTAGTTATCAACATGGTGGAGATATTTTTTTCACAATTCGAAGTTTGGGGGAAAGAAATCCATCTAAAAAAAGTTCATTTATAAAATAATTGTTTAGTTGGAATTTTCAATCAGTTAACTGGTTGATAGTATCATTAAAAAGTGCACCGTATTTAAACAATGAATTTAAAAAATCATTTTGTTTAATAACCATTTGTTATGAGATTTTTAAAAATGGCGTTAAAAAAGATTTGTCTCTCAAAATGGGGGACGAGTCAAAAGGTATAGAAACTATGATATATGCCGTGTCTCTTGATAGGATTTTTAAAGTGATGGCATTGCAAGTTTATAAATAAACTCGTTGTTAAATATAAAAATTATTCTTAAATTTAAAATCATTTTTAGTATACTTTTTTCCGAGTACATCCAAATAATGTTTTATTTTTACTAAAAAAAATATAATACGAGTATAAATGCTTTCTTTACTTTCAAGGTTTGCAGTCATCCTGATATTTCAGATTTTCAGCTAAATAAGACTGTCGCGATTTTTCCTAAGTTTCAGCCTTTTTGCTTTGATATTCCCGAATTTTGTGCACATTCAGAAGACCACTATACACTATATTCTACCAAAGTAAACAAGGATTTTAAAAATATCGATTTGAATCGAGGAACAGGAAAATATAGATTTTCAATTCAACATCTTTTTATTTCAATTAATAATGAAAATTTCACAGTTTAATTAAAAATTTTATACATTGAAATTTTTATGATGATAAATTCAAGTTCATGCACTTATTTATTATTTTCAGCCAATCCAGCAACAAACCCACCACAGTTATTTTATCAAGGAATTTTTAGATGGCAAATTAGGAAATCATTCAGTGAAGTACTATTTTTTTTCTCTGTTTTTTTATTTAAGATAATTAAAAAAATTACTTTAAAATTATTTAAAGATTAAAAATCTTTACTAAATTAAAAATCTCAATCAAATATGACTGCCATTATGAAAAAATATTGACAATTTAGTGCTCTTTACTCCTTTTATGCAACGTTACTATAAAATTTTCTGTATATTGTTTTAAACTATTAGGAATTGTTCAACGCTCTATTAATTAAATTGTGCTAGAAAGTTTTAAGACTTTATGATCTAATAAATTCCATGTGATAAATAAAATAGTTTTAAAATGAAAAATATCATTAGTACCAGTAGAACACGAAGTCAAGTATCACTGGCTGTGATCAGTAAGTGGGTGGGTGACCACTTCGATCAGGATGAGTAGGAACCGAGGGTACACGGTATTGGCTTTCGTTAAACTGTTCAACAATAAAGTGCTCGACTTCCCGCTCAGGTCGTCGTTTTGCCAAAGCAGGGGAACCATTCCCTCTGCAGAGGATCAAAATTGCGATAGCATGTCCTCAGGGATGTTTCCCAGACAGTCGTCAATAGCCCATTGTGCAGCTCTAGTGCGATGTAAATAAAGTACCTACCTACCTGAAATTCGCCATCGCAGCGCTCGAGTACACCCTCTAGCGGATAGGTTATTTTCAGGCTTTTATTTATTAAGCTTTCATTTAGTTCTATCAGAATCATTAGAAGAGTAGGGCGCCATGCTTTAGCACCAAATAAAAAGCAAAATTTCCTTAAAGAAAGGACTGACAAACGACCCTGCACATTTTTAAATCTTTTTGAAACGGAACGCGCTCGACGTTTGAAGAGTGATTTCTCAATAGTTTTTACCTTTCTATTATCAACAACATTAATTCGATTTCATAATCGAATGCTGTTACAGATGTGTGTATTACGGTAAAAAAAACTGTTTTCAATTCATTACAAATTGAAGTGAAGTCAACATTGCTTACTTCATTCCAATGAACAAATGTGATTTCAAAACGTACAGAACTGTAATAGTTATAGAATATTCTTCTTCTTTATAGAACAGTATATATTTCTGTATCTATATAATTCGAAAAGTCACAGAAAAGAATCATCCGAATTACTTAAAATAGTATCATTTGTGTTGATTATTTCTTTGATTTAATAAGCGACAGTAAAGAAAGAACGCTACAATGCTGCACGTTACATTAAGGACAGCTCCAGAGCAACTGAATGACTGTTGATATAGAAATCGCAGGTATTCATCTCATACAACAGCGCCCCTTATAGTTCGTTGCGATCGCGAAGACGGATTATTTTTTTTTTAAAAAAAAGAGGAGAAGAAAAGAAAAATTACGTCCCGCAGTGGACTGATCGTTAAGACATGGCTCCCAGCAGATCACCGAAGCCAAGCATCACTGGCTACCGTCAGTGTGCGGGTGTGTGGCCACTTGTTTTAGCCTACGTAGGGACCGGGGGTGTGCGGTAGTGGTCCTAAACTGTTTCACCGTAAAGTGCTCGACTTCGCTTGCAGGTCGTCGGGTTACCGAAGCGGGGTGCATCCCTTCTGCAGAGGATCAAAATTGTGATGGCATGTCTTCGGATCATCCTCAGGGATGTTTTCCAGATCGTTGCCAATAGCCCATTGTGCAGCTCTAGTTCGACATAAATGAAACTGCATGCAATTTCTGACTGTATTCAAAAAAATTTCGAAATCGGAAATGTAATCAAAAACCTGTAAGCGAGAATGTTTCGTAGACAGCGAAAACCGTTCTTATAACTATCACTCAAATGCGATTTCTTTGCATAGAAATTTTTTTACTGCAGCGAAAACGGTTTCTAAAATTAAAACTATAAAAGCTATAAGCCAAACAAAAGTTGCTTTAAAAAAATATTGAAATTGCTTACAATGGCCGTCTAAAAACAAATTCTTGCATTCGATTGCGCACAAAAGTTTAAATGTTTTCAATCAACTCTTTCCCTTGTGGTTTGACTATTAAATTTATAATATCGTGACACAGCATTTAAAAATGGATAATAATGAAACAGATAAAAAGATTGATCGTCCAAATTCCTCTGCAAGTCAGAAGGAAAATTTGGCTCAAAATGAGCAAAATAAAAACAATGAACATCAACTAAAAGTTGGGGATCATTATTCTGTCCGCCGTTCGGATGATACTTGGCGTAAGTCTTTTTGTTAGCTGCAAAATAATTTAATTACTTTTTCTCTATTTTTATATATAACCATCTCTTTCTGTGTTTGTATCGTAACCGTTTAAATGCCGAATTAAGACAAGGTAAAACAAATAACTTAAAATTTGATAAATTTACCAAAGTGGAGAATAAAATTTTAAGAAATGGAGTGAAAAAAATATTAAGTTCTTAACTATGTTCCAGTTTTTAAACATTGGCAGACACTTATGTGACGATTATCAAGATCGCTGCAGCTGTATTCCCTTATATATCTTCGGTTGGAACAAGATGGTGTCCACTTAGAAGGCATGAAAATTTGAAATACCATTTCAGTAAATATATTAATAGTTGAAAAAAAAATTTAAGGCATAAAATTATGTTGAAGAGATATTCACCAGTAATAGATTTCAAAGTAAGTCAACAGCCCATAAGCAGAATATTTTCAAATGTTCTGCAACAGGACTTATAAATCTATAAAAATGTTCTGCAAACATTTCACAACGAAAAAAAGTTAACTTTATGTTAAAATAATAAATTTTCATTTATTAAAATACGATATTCATACACAGATACACTACATTCTTTTTAAAACCAAGGTAAACATTCTTGATTTGTTACTTTTTCAATCACTTTTGAAGTACGAAATTTCGTTAATGATGATAAATTATCAATTAAATGCCTATGATATGAAGGTCCGAACATTAAAATAAGGGCTGCCTTAAAAATCTTTTGAAGGGACAAGTGCGCAGATGGTGCACCATTTGCAAACACAAACATTCGCTGGTCTGTTGTTCCAACAACCTCTTCATCTCCATCGAAAACATTTGGTCTTTTAAAAACAATTCTGTCAATCGTGGATCCCCACGATTCACAAATTGCTTCTGAAATGGGAATGGAAAATATAAAAGTCATAAACTTTATGAAATTGAAAATCTCTGAATTTAACAAGTAAACAAAAGGAGTAGAGTGGTTTATCAAAGATTTTAAAGTCAAAAATTGAAACATACGAAAATTTATCTAAAAAGACGGGTGAAGAATGAGGTGGGAGGAAATGTTCTGCAAGATTGTGAGGGTAAGCTTTCAAACCTTCAGGTCATTATGGTCAACAGAAGAACGTATGAGATTAGCGTTGGGGATTGTTCTGCAAGATTACCGGAGGCAGGTAAACGAGGGTTCGCAGGAAAACGCTGTCACTTATTCACGATACAAATTGTTCTGCAGGACTTCGTTTGTTCTGCGACGTACGTCACAGTTTTAGGCACTTTCTGCTTCTGGGGTCAACAGGAGCACTAGGAGATGTTTCTGTGTCATGAGCTGTGGCGAAATAATCTCCAATTCTAGGCAAGTTCCGGGCAGCAACCCGTGCGAAACTAGAAAGAAAATAAACATCATAGAAAGGGACCAACTCGAATGGAATAACATTCAGCCACCCCTGGGCAACTATCTACATGTTTCTTATTTTAAAAAGATTTGAAAGTTTAAAATCTATTTGGCACCTTTGCGATTGTAGTTGGCGCGACAGGTCACAATACGGAAATATCCTCAAGCACTACTCATGCCTTCATAACATTTCGTGCAAAATTTTTCTCGATTCTTTTAATACTTTTGATGCATCCAATATGGAGGTATTTCCGTATCAAGATCCACCATGTCATTTATTATTACCAAATTGAGTTTAAGCAGAACATTAGTTTGCACCGCCGGTCACAATACGGAAATATCTCCGAGCACTATTCATGCGTTCTTAACATTTTTCGTGTTTCTTTTAATATTTTTGACGCATCAAATTTGGGGAAATTTCCATATGAAGATCCACCACCCCATTTACTATCGCCATGGGGCTAAATTGAGTTTAAACCGAAAAAATTTTCTAAAAAAACCTGTAGAGGTTTGTTCAGGGATGGCTACGAGTTATACCTTTTGTGTTGGTCCCTTTCTGTGATGTTTATTATAGTTTCATGTGTGCCTCCGCCTGGAAGTTGCTAAGATTTGGCGATTTTTCTGTCACAGATCACGATACAGAAATCTTACCAGAGTTAGAAATGAAAAATTATTAGTATGAAGAACCTGTTTAATACCATTGTTGGAAAAATATTGAATGCTATAAAAAATTTGATTTTTGGTAAACTACAAGCTAGAGAAAAATGAAGGAAAAAACTTTCTTTCTTTCCCTTAGCTCTAAATAGCCTTCTTTTGTGTTAAGGAAACTTTTTTTCTATTAATTTACACATAACATTTGTTATTTAAATACCTTAGTATTAAGTTACATTATTTATTCCTTTAATTAAAAGAGGTAGAGAGGTTAATTAATGTACTGTTTTAAACCATCCAATAGTTAATTATCTGAATTTTATAAAATATAATTACTTTTACAGATTCGGCAGAGATAATACACGTTCGCCATAGTGAGCATGACAGCACCAAATGTGAATACTATGTCCATTATGATGGTTGTAAGTATATTGATTTTTTTTTCTTCTTTTTTTGTTAACACTAGGACTGGACAATAAATTGATGTATCGCGAATTATCGATTTAACGCATAAATCAGCAGACCGATATAGCGACTTTCATTTTAGGCGATGCATCAGTAATCTGATTTAAGATAACGCTCGCGGTTTAAGGGGATTCTTGCCTATGCTAGCTCTATCACCTCACTGATGAAGACGGTTTTGATTTCATCTAACTGAGAAGATGTTGATTACATTCAGCTACAAAGATGATGTTCGTTTCGTGATTTTGAATGATGAAGGGCAAGGATCAGCGTTGAAATGTAGAATGTGATGCATAGTTTCTTTCTGTGCCATTTTTGTCCTGGGGATTTTACTTTTCTTTAGATTCAGTGGAACTTATTTTGCGATTGTTGTGCGTTTTATTTTGACGGGATTTAACATTTCATGTAAATTATTTTCTGTGAGACTTTTGCTACTTAGCAATCGCTGCACATTATTTCCTCACTTTTTTTTTTCTGTCTGGATTTAGCATTTCTTGGATTTAATTATTGGATATATATTATCTTGGATCATATTATTAGATTTAATGTTTCTTGTCAATTATTTTTAGTAGACCTACTGTTACTTGTCAATCACTGTTATCTTAAACTCTCATTTTGAACTTAATCTATTAATGAAAAGAAATTATGAATAATGTAAAATAAAAACATTGTTTATTGATTTTTTTAAAAGTGATACAATTTAATATTTTATATATTTTGTATTTAAGTAATTTATACTTTGTTATAAAAAGTTAGTTTTTTTTTTTTTAATTTAGTTAATGCACATAAGTATAATAATTTGATAGAATTTGATTATTTTTTAAACCAGTAATTCTTCAGTCCTTGTTTTAAAAAAAATTAAGACAAATCCTGGATTTATTTAATTTGCTTTTATTTTTGAGGAAATTGAAACAGAGTTGGCGTTATTTCTTTTTTTTTTAAAAAAATTTGGCTGTTAGTTAAAATGACTAAATTTTTCTACTTAAATGAAAAGTTTAGCAATGTTTAAATGTTTTTTAATAATTTAACAATAGTGCTCTTAAATATAGTATATATATATTTTTCTAAAAATTCTTTCAATACTTGTTCGCTAAATAATTTGTTAAGATAGTCAGTATTATTTTTAAACATTTAAATCTTTAGTCGATTTCATTTTAAAAAAAGAAAATAATAATAAATAAATTAACTTACATTTATTAGGACCATTTGACCACGCACATTAGTCAATACAACTCTATTATAAGTAATTGAAAAAGGCCTAACGATGTTTCGAAAGCACGTTTTCAGAATTTTTGTTCTAATTGGAACTCATGCCTGTAATATATATAGTATTGTATATTATTGTAACATTGTTATAATCTTTTTTACTTATTATTTTCTTTAGAACATGAAAGAGTAAAAATAAAATTTACAAAAAATGGTGTTTCAATATCAGAATTATTGTAAAAAAGTGTAAACAAATAAGAAAATTATATTTTAGCAATTTTATTATACTGCTTAGAGCATTTATCGTCTGCTAAATTTAGCTAAGAATTATCCTTATCATTCAACACATGCTTAGCCTTGCAATATTTTCAATTAACTCAACTTCAGAAAATAATTCTTAATTAATAAACATTCTTAACTTCCTATATAGGATACTGTATACACCTAAAAAAGAATGAACTAAATTTAAAGGGAAAAATATATGTTTTCTACTTAACTCAAAGGGCTTACCTGATCCTACAAATACATTAAGAAGTTCATTTTATATATACTTCATTTGTATAAATAACCTAATGTTTCTTTTTTTATGAATTTTCACTTAAATTTTCCCCATTTAAACTTAAAACACAAAATATATTTCAAAATAAAACAACGATTCTTCCAGGTGAGAACGGAAATATTTCTTGGTGCATTTATGTTTATTCTGTTTTTTCAATGTTATTTTTATATCAGCAAAAAAATAGCCCTACTTTTTGACATATTTTACAAAAAAAAAAATCTAATCATTTTTATTTTTCAATTTTAAACTAACAATAGCCTAATTAATTGTGCGTAGTTGTACAGGGTTATTCATAATTCCCTCTGTTTACTACAACCTTATGTTTACTACAACTGGCTCCAGTGGTACATGTTGCTGCCAATTAAAACTTGAATACTTTCGGAATAATTTCATATGTTCTTTTTTGCCATATTCGTCTTCGTTTTTTTATTATAACGCTTCGAAACCCCCGAGGGAATTATGAATAACCCTGTATTCATTTCATAGTTTCTAATTTATGTACCACTGTGTGTCGATAAAATTGATGTCTATTAATGTAGAAAGATAAAAGTCTAGCTAACTTGATAAAGTGAAGAAATCAGCTGATTAAAATTGTTTAGAAAAGCAACATATCCTCGTTTTTTTCTCTGAATTTTACCTTTAAATTTCTCTTATTTTAGGTAATCGCAGGTTAGATGAGTGGGTTGGTTCTGACAGATTTGATTTTTCATCTCACAATAAGGAGCATGAAAAGAATAATCTCAGCCTAGCTCATCAAACTGACCAACCAGATAGAAAAATTACTCGAAACCAAAAGAGAAAACATGATGAAATTAATCATGTTCAAAAGGTATAAACTGTCTTATAAGAATTAAATTTGATCAATTAGTATTCACTTCAGGATATTTTACTTTTTTCCTGTTAATTACATGATGAATACTTTATGTTCAATGTTTGCATTACTATTGACAAAAAAAAAAAATTCTGATCAACTTAAATACTTTGTCTATCTAAATATTCCATCTGAACATGTTTCTAAGTCTATTATTTAAAAAAATTCCTTTATATGTCATTTTTATGTTGAGGCATAGGTATAAACTAATTTGTTATGCAGAAAACTGTGGATGTCATTTTGTGATGACACTTTAATAATTCCTTTTTTTACTCATTTTTTAAATACATTCAAAACAATTTATTTAAAAAATAGGAGTTCATCAATTTTTTTCAAATAACATAGACTAATTTTTAATAGTGTTATTTTTTTCCATATGTACACAGAATAAAATTGTTAACTTTCTTTATGTTAATACAATTTTATAAGAAAAAGTGTTCAATTTTATAGTTTTTTAAATTTGAAAAAGAGGATTTGTTAAAAGGAGTAATCTTTAACAACTTATTCTTATTTATAAAAAATATTGAACAGTTTCAAGTTTCTCTACACATAAATGAATTTAATATTTATTTTTATATGGTCTTATCTGTCTTATTAATGCACATTATTCTTAAATTCTATATTAATCTCATATTAGTTAATAATATGTATAATAGACTATTTACCTTTTATATATTTAGTTATATTACTTCTGCTTACAATTTTATTAACTAAAAAGGATAAACGAAGAATGTCTAGGATTTCAATAAAATTATTTAAATTAGTGGTTTAAATCACGATTTTAATTACTTAATTTTTAAAAAGGAACCATTGATTCAAAACAGCAAAGTTTCATAATATAATAATAATAATTAAGTTATTTTACCCCACTCTATTGTAAGTAAGGAGAACAGAAAATTTAATCTTTCTAAAATATTTTTTTTTAAATTCTCATATTTTTTTATATTAAGTTTCTGCTAATAAAAAAATAACTATTTTTTTAAACAGTTCAAATATCAGTGATACAAATATATAGCTGACAGGTATTAGGTGTTTTCCTCAAATCTTGTATTTTTATTTTTACTGACAAAATTCCTTTTTTTTTTTCGACATTAGAGGGGGGGGTTGTATTATATATATATATAGTTGATTTTTAAAATGTCAAATTTTTTAGCTTAATTGTTATTAATGTTATAAAATTTGTAAGATTTCATCTAAAAGAAAAATTGAATGCTTACATTTGCTATTATTGTCTACTTATGCATTCACAGAATTATCTTATGTTAGAAATATTTTTATAAAAGAAACTATGAAAGAAACTATTTAAAATCAAGACTCTGTTAGTTTTGTAGGTGGAAAGAATAGTTCACAAATAGTAGGAATAGTTGAAATGCTAATGCATTTCTAAAAGAGAAATAATTACATAAGTTATTTTTTAGTACGAAAAGATTTAGCTCTATATAACTCTATCCTAAATTAATATTTTTGTTTATTTTGAATATGCTTTTTTTAACCTTCTAATTCAAAGTTAAAATAGCAATAAACTTTTTTCGCCTCTTAGACTTATGCTGAAATGGATCCTACAACAGCTGCTTTAGAAAAAGAACATGAAGCAGTAAGTTACAAGTCCCTTGTCATGATTATGTTTTCCATATTGTTATCATTGAAAAAGTTTTATCTTTTCTGTTAATGGTATTTTGAGTTTTAATTAATCCTGGATTTTTAATTGTATTTTTGTTTTAATTTTAAAAAAGTGACTGGATCATTGTCAAATTAATGAAATGTGATACAGTGCAACGTCTCATACCCAGACCTCCCTTTTCCCGAAGGATCGATTTCCTGGACTCTTTTTAACAATCAAAATAAACAAACATCTCTTCATCTTCCCCTTTCTTTAAAAAAAAAGAAGAAAAAAAAGGTCTTTTGACACGTTTTCTCTTCTAGCTTGCACTGAACCCCTGATTTATGCATTGAACCCATAAATCACAAAGGGAAAGAAGAGAAGATCTACCAAGACCATTGAGTGACCTTTAGCAATGCTCCTACTCTGTAATGCAGGAAAAGAGGGAGATTTGTTTTCAAAAGACCACAACTGCGTCCCCTCCCCTCTCTTTTCCTATGCAGCTGGCTAGTAAAAGAGGCATTTCCTGGAAAATTTTTATTGAAAGAAAAGGGTAAACACTGCAAGCATAAACATGGAGGGGGAGTCAAAATGGAACATTTGATTAGGTCTAAAAGGATACATGTCCTTGAGAAGCATTCATTCTTCCCCTGACCATGTAATATTTAGGAGGCGGGGGGGAAAGGGGATAGCATTCTTTCTTTAGCAGATTCTTTCAGTCATACAAGAAAAAATAAAGAGAACCCCATCAGCATGCCCCACCTTTATGCTTGATTGATAGCCAATAATTGGAGAGAAAACAATAATTTGTCACTTCCCCACCCTCAACTTGAATGATCTCCTCTCTACACTTATTTTCTTTCACAAATAAGGAGGAAATGAATTTTTCTCCTCCACCTACCCATCTTAATGAATGACGGGAATTTCCCTTTCTTGCTGGAATCATTCTAGTTAAAAATGGCGGATTATTATTTTCATAACTGTCAATTTTTTTTTCATTATCTATATTTTAAGCAATAATTTTTTTCCCTAATATTTCATATTTGATTGATTGGATAATCTAATACTAGAACATTATTCCCCTTAAAAATAATGTTTATTTATTTTTGCTTCTTAGATTTAAATCATTTTAAGCTTTGTTCCAAAATGAAGTGAATTACCCCTTCCTGCTTGAATCGTTCTAGTTCAAAATGGCAGATTAATATTTTCATAACAGTCAAATTTTTTCATTTTCTATATTTTTAGCAATAATATTTTATTTTCTAATACATATTTTATGTTTGATTGATTAGATATTCTAATACTAAAACATTATTCCCCTTAAAAATAATGTTTATTTATGTTTTGCTTCTTAGATTCAGATTGTTTATTAGATCATTTTAAGCTTTGTTTACCTTGGGGGACAATTATACGGAAAAATCTATTATACGGACATCTGGAAGTCCCACCGATTCCAGATATGCGACTTTACACTGTAATATGTAACTAGATGAAATTCAATAAATTTAATTTACTTGGTGCATGGTAATCGTAAAAAGAAAGTATGTGAATAATATCCTAAATCTTAGAAACCTAAGTCTGAAAAATTCTATGTAGTTTTTTTGGTTTTAGCTTTGTCAAACTTATTAAAAAAAGTTTATTTGAAATGTATTACTTAATTGATTATTTGTATTATTCCTTATAAATTAGTTTTGAAATTCAGCTGTACTTATTTATTATCATTGTTTATATGCATTCTGTCTCAATCTTTTCTCAACCTAAATCTAAAAATTTTATGTAGTTTTTTTGGTTTTAGCTTTGTCAAACTCATAAAAAAAAATTTTTTAAATATATTGCTTAATTGATTATTCGTATTATTCCTTATAAATTAGTTTTGAAATTCAGCTGTACTTCTTCATTATCATTGTTTTGATACATTCTGTCTCAATCTTTTCACTTTGTTAGGCTATTTAAGACAGCGAAACATTCAAATAAGTTAAATTATATGTTTGTCAATCTGCAAACCTATTGAGTTAAGATTTTTTTATACATGAAAATGTTTTAATTTTCTTTATTTTAAAAAAATTTAAAGGGACAGATTTTGCTAAGCTTGTCTGAGGTCTTTTCAAAATGGTTAATAAAATGCTTGGAATTTTTCCTGATCAATACAGCAACAACACCAAAAAAAATATTGACATACTGACATTTTACAAATGACTGAAACATTCTAATAATTACTAAAAGGGTTAAAATTTACGTTGAAGAAATAAACTACAAAAATCATCATTATGAAAAGATTTTAGCATAGTAAAAAAATTGATGTTCAGTAGAAGGTATTTTTTAGTTCTCTGCTCATATTCACTCATCTCATTTTGAACAAACTCTATATAATGAATCTATACTTTTAAATCAAGGAAAAAGAATAGCTATTTTTTTCTAAAAAAAAAATTTTATTTTATTCTATGCCAAGTTTTGATACTTATTTTTTTTAATTTAGTTTAGTTAATGAATATTGCTCCTCATTTTTAGTTATGTAGTTATTTAGACATCACATTAATTTTACTGAAACATTTTACACCATTAGATTTCACAGTTGGAATCCCTTCTCTTAAGTGAACATTTATCATAGTTCTGAGAGTGTCCACTTTATGTAGATTTATGTAAAAACTTATGTATGATAAATCAATGATTTAATAAATCAATAAACACATGACTGAGTACAGAAATAAAATTAATACAACGTTAAACATTTGAAAATGTAATTTTTTTTCCTAAGTGGGATAATAGATATTAGCCAATCTTAAGATATTTGCAGCTAATCTTAAAATAATTACATCTTTAAAAAAAAATAATTTGTATTTTTTAATACGAAGAATAATCTTTTCTAACATAATAATAACTTTTATTCCATAGATAACAAAAGTAAAATATATTGACCGAATTCAATTTGGGAAGTATGAGATTGATACTTGGTATTTTTCACCATATCCTGAAGAATATGGAAAAGTTCCTAAATTATGGATTTGTGAATATTGCCTAAAATATATGAGACTTGAAAAAACATATAGATATCACCAAGTAAGTAGGGTTTTTTTTAAGCTATTTATATATATATATAATAGGATTGTTTTCTTATTAAGCTTTTAAAAAATATGTGTCATTTATAGTTAATAGCAACATAAAAACACAAGTTGCATTCTCTGTAGAACAATAAATTTTTATATTCTGTATACAATAATTTTTAGTTGTAATATAGATTTTAAAAAAAGTTTTATTCCTGTATTATGTATAACAATAGTATAATTGTAATATAAACCTTGTTTTATAAAATTAAAAACAGTTTATTAGAATAAAAGTTGACATTTAAATATTGAATATATGTTTTTTAATTGGAAGTGTAAAATTTAAGACAATTTTGTACAAAATGTGTGTCTGTTGAAGGATGTGAAAAATTATGATAAATCTGATTTTTCGATATTACAAAGATGATTGTAAAATAACGCAAAAAATAATGTACAAAGTTTATTTGGACAATTCTGTTATTTATCAATAAGCAAATACACTTTTATTGTTACATACTAAAAAATTAATATTATTGGTGTGAATGCATTCTGAGGTAGACCAGTGACTTTCTTTAAAAAAATAGTTTATTCAGATGCCTTGGTTTTAAAGGAAATCCTGCATCTTAAATAGCAGTGAATTCATAGAAAGTGCTTGTCACAAATTTTTCCTTTATTTAAGAAAAATATTTTGGAATTCTAATAAATAAATTTTTTTTAAGGTATTATATTTGTTCTCCTTCTGAGGACATAAAAAAAATTTTATTCATACATAGATTCTAATGATCTGCGTTATATTAAAAAAGTGATGTATAAAAAATTATTCAGGTAAACCATTAAAATTCGTTGAATTTTTCAAAGCTTTCACAATTTTTTTATACTATATTGCCTTTTAAGTTATGAAAAATAGATTGCAGTAATAAGAAAAAATGTCTTTTCTAACTTAAAAAACAACCCTGGTGATATTGTATAGTATGGTGTAAGATCAATATAACAAGTATTGCATGTTACAAGAAGTCTGCTATTACAATAATTTTCTAAGTCACTGACAAAATGCAAATGGGAAAGCTACAAAAATTTTATATTTGTAATGAGTTAAAAATTGCTTATCTCTCTCTATTGGGACAAACATCTTTTGAAAGAAATACTTTTTCTTCTGTTTAAGTGACGAATGTTATGCAGAAAAATGAACAAAAAAACCATCTTTATTTATTTCTGGTATCAATGCAGAAAAGTGAAAAACTGGTGTCATTTCACTTTATTTTATGTTTACAATTTCAACCTTTTTATATGTTCCTCCCTCCAAAAAAATTTTGCTATTTTTGGGAAACTTGTTGCTCATTTTGAAAAATATATGCCTTTTTGTTGATGACATATCTACTATACCATATATTTCCACAATGACCACATACTTCCCTTCTTGACAGATTACCACTTAATTCTGAATGTTGAGTTTAATAGTTATCATTGATAACAAAAGCTGCTGTACTTCATTTTCAGTTTTTAGATTTTACATTGCTATTTTCATGAAATATGTGTATTTGCTTATAACGACAAATCTATTTGCTGCTGTGAATTGTTGTTATGTCAGGCTTTTACTGTATATGCACATTATCAATCATATCATTTTTTTTTTTTTTTGCAAAAAAATATAATACATTGTTTATTGATTACTATTAGCATTTTATTCTTTTATTTTACAATTTATTAGTGAATTCTAGTTTTTATGGAAAAAAATATATTATAATTGTGTTTCATCAATGACCTTTGAATTTGCTAATATTATAATTAATGATAGAATTTTTTTCTATTTTTTTCTATTTTTTTTTTTAGTTTTTTTTTTTTGTATTNTTTTTTTTTTTTTTTTTTTTTTTTTTTTTTTTTTTTTTTTAAATTACTGAATCCTGAAATTGTTTGATATGAGTTTTGAATAATAAAATGACTTACATTTTTTTCTTCTTTAATAACTGCAGCTTTTGCATCAATATTTATTTGTTTCACTTACATGCTATTTTTAAAATTTTGTGCACTGTATATTTTGCAAATAATACCATTTTTAATAAGTTTTTTTAGCAACTCTTGTTATTTAATGATTGACCCAGTCAATGCTGATTATCTCTAGAAACATATAATCACTTTTATCTGCCCAATTTTTAATATAATTTTATGCCTGTAATTATGATGATTTTTTAAATAATTAATTGCTCCCAGAAAAAGAATGTGTGAACTTGATATTTAAGAATTTGCTTCCTAAACTATTTTAAATTTTATTTTGTAATTTATTTATTTTTTTCATTTTGAAAGGGTGAATGTACTATGAGACAGCCTCCTGGTAAAGAAATATACCGCAAAGGTGTTTTGTCAGTATATGAAGTGGATGGAAAAGATCACAAGGTATACTCGTAATTTATTTGTAATATTCTGACTAATTACTTCATTAAATATTTAAAAATTACTAACGAGCACTTGACTTTATGTATTATAATAATGGCAAAATAATTGTTTTTATTTTTCTATCTTTCAATACAAATTTACTTTAACCATTTTCCTCTCTTTTAGCTATATTGTCAATGTTTATGCTTAATGGCGAAACTTTTTCTTGATCACAAGACATTATACTTTGATGTGGAGCCTTTTTTATTTTATGTTCTAACAGAGTTAGATAAACATGGAGCTCACATTGTGGGCTATTTTTCTAAAGAAAAAGAATCTCCAGATGGAAATAATGTTGCTTGCATTCTAACTCTTCCTCCCCATCAGAGAAAAGGGTTTGGAAAATTCCTTATTGCTTTCAGTAAGTAATTTGCAATGTTTGTTTTATTGTTTCGGTCTTAAAAAATTTTTTTGATGTACACCGAAGAGCCATTACATTATGACCACCCTCCACTTATAAAAATGGTCTCGGTTTTCATGGTTTCTCGCCCAGGAACAATGTTTTCATGGGGCACATTAGGACCCATAATCCTCATAGAACAATCCCTGATGTCTGTAAGCTACTTAAGCATCATTGCAGACCAGGTTCATCCATTCATGGCAACAGTTTTTCCTGCGAGGGATGGTGTTTACCTACAGGATAATGCACCATGTCATAAGGGTCGAATAGTCAAGGAACATTCCAGTGACTTTCAAGTCATGTCTTGGCCCCCAAATTCACCTGACCTTAATCCAATAGAGCATTTGTGGTCCTACTTGGAAAACCAAATTCGTGCTGCCACGACGCTACCCCCTCGCAATGTGAGGGAATTGCAGGACCAGTTGGCGAGTGCTAGGTACCAAATACCTCAGACTACCTATCAGCACCTTGTGGAATCAATGCCACAGCGGGTGCTAGCAGTTTTGAGGGCTAAAGATGGTCCTACATGTTATTAGCAGGGTGGTCATAATGTAATGGCTCTTCGATGTAAGTGCCTTGTTGGGAGAGAAGAAATGAAATCAGGGTACGTAGCGTTTTTAAAAGGTGTTTATTTTCGTTTTTTAAAAGTCCTTAAAGCTGCTTTTTTCCATGGGTGTTTTTAAAAAGTGCTTAATTTTCCCTTTTCCGAAATGAGATATTTTCTTTACCATGTTGATTTTCGCCACAAATTATGCAAAAAGACATTGTCCTATTCAGCATTTTCACAGTTAATTCAACCCCAATCTATTTCGGCGTACCGCCTATCTGTAGTGTATGAAAACACCATTTGTTTTACATGTTTGATGAAATACTTGCCGGTTCGCACTTGCGTATACTGAGTTGGATTCAGTGGTAAGGATTTTTTACTCTCATGTGCAATCCTGCTGCATTTTGCAAGAGATTCTCAATTTCAGACTTCACTTTCCGCCCTCTGCAATAGAATCGAAAAATCTCTCGAGTTTTTGCTGATTGCGGGGACCAACTAAACATTGTCAATTTTTTTTCTCTATTAGTAATGGAAAATTTCATTTATCTTGTTAATTTCATAGTTTGTGACGTGCCATCCTCTTCGTCACTGTAAATAAAACCATCAATTGTCAAAAACTTGCCTACCCTGTCTAATTATGATATTTTTCAAAGTGCTTAAAAATATTTTTTCAGTGCTTGAAAAGTGCTTAAAAGGTGCTTATTTTTTGTTACGCACCCTTGTAATTTTTGATCTTCATAGACTTAAATTAGAAGGCTTACTCAACAATGGGATAATTCCATGGTGTCGTACCGAAGAAATCAACATAAATTTCTTTTTTAAAAAAAACATAAAATATAAGTTAAGATTAAAATTATCAAATTTTCTTATCAAATTTTTAGTGCATTATTACCTATCTGAAAACAATTTGTTTCATAAAAACTGACAGTAAAAAAGTTAAATTAAATGGATTAAATTGTTGGTATTGAACGTAAATCACACGAAAGCAAAAACTGATTACTCATTTACAAATTATCTAAATTCTGTGAATTTATTTTTAATTTAAATATAAACTAAACTGAATTTTGAAGTTGACATTTTAATAAAGAATTATATGCAGCTCTTAACTTTGAAACATGATGTATAATTAATTTGAAATTTTTACTTTTGTGGGGAACGTTAAAAAAAATTTTTGTCAGGCGTAAATTCTTTTGAAGTTGAATATAAAATTAAGTTAATCAGAACAATTAGAGATACTGAAACTACTTTAATTTCTATCTTAATGCTATTAAAAATACTTTTTTTCTCCATTAAATAGAATCTTAAAGTTTAAATTGTCTCCTTTTTCCTGTTAGAATATGTGGATCAATGTGTTTTATAACATTTCCATCTTGTAAACGTAAGATGGAAAGTTGTAAAATTTTTGGTGTCTGACATAAATTCTCAAGTTGAAATAAAACTATGTTAATGATAATTATAAATACCGAAAATACTTTAATTTCTATCTTAATACTATGAACATTATTTTTTTCATTAAATAGCTTCTTTAAATTTAAATTGTTCTCTATTTCCTGTTAGAATAGGTGGATCAATGTGTTTTATAAAATGTTCCATCTTGTGAAAGTTATTTGAAAAGTCACTAATTTTAACTCATCGTATATTAACATCAATGTAAATACAACTCTCATATTTAAGCAATATTTCCTTGAATCTAATAATTTTAAAAATCCTGGTATAAAAATAAAAAAATTAAGTTTCATTCCCCGAGTTTCATTTGCCAGTTCTGGGCCAAATAACTACTTTAAATGTTTATCTCATTTACTTAAAATTTGAATATTATTATAGTAGTTTCTTGACGTATTGGTTTAATATTTTTTAAATTATTTTTGCCAAATTTACAGGACATTAAGAAATAATAAGCACTTATCCTTTAATCATAAGCAAACATTTAGTTTAATAGAAACTGCATTTATTAGTAACGTTTACTGTTCAATTTTAAACCAAATTGAATAAATGTTTTTACTTTGATTTAAAGTTGTAAAATCTTATTCAATGTAAAATTTTAGTAAGGAATTTAGCTTTACAGAATCTAAACTTATAACAGTCGCGAAAAATCCCCTTATGTCTGACATTATATAATCTATAAATATTATATGTATATATATGTGTCGGGAGATGTAAAAACTGAGTTTGCTCCATTTCTGTGAGCCCTAACTATGCCTTTGTTTGTATTGGCAAAGTTTCGTACTTTACATCTGAATGCATATAACAAGCATTCAAGTTAACCTAAGTATAAATGTGTACTTAAACTCAAGAACAGTTTCTGAATACAAGCTTGAGTTGCTTTTCTCGACAAAAAATAAATCACTACAGAATATTCTGGAGGGGGGGGGGGAGTTTACTCTAAATGCATACACTTTTCAATGACTTCTAAGCAAAATTATTGATTTTAAATTTTCTAAATGAAGTTGTTGTTTCCCAAAAAATTAAAACTGATTTGCTGATCTCCAAGAAAAAAGAATTAAAAGAAATTCATTGCTCAATTTTAAGTTGTAATATAAATAATTTATATTATATGATATATATATATTATATTATGTAATATAATATAATTTTAAGTACAGCATACTCAAGCAGGTTTTATTAGATTACTGAGGTGAAATACATTCTTGGCATATGTTGACATGCATCAATCTAAAAGAAGATTTAGATGGTTTTTATTCATTTTTCTCTTTATTTTGTAAGAAAAGAAAAGCAGTGATGTTGGATGTAAATGGTGTTCGAAGTAAGAATAATCAATTATTAATTTACAATAAAAATGTTTATTATTATTAAAATCAAAATAAACTATAGAAATGAGACTTAGAATCTTGCTTTAAGCAGAAAAAATAATCTTATTATGTTTAATCTTAGCGGTAGAGTACAATTAATTATGTATTTTGATACCCAATGTAAAATGTCATATTTAAGTTTTTATTGCACTATAACAGTTTTATCATAATATCAACTATTCATTTACAAATTGAAAGTGTAAAATTTATAATTAATTATGCATAAATGAAATTATATGGTACTAAATACAATAATTTTTTTGAATTTTGCTGTTTCTCTTATATACAATCAGTTTTGTTTCAATCCCTTGTGAAATGTTTATGCAGGGTAATAATTATATTTATTGATTCTGTATTCAGGAATTTTTTTAAATTTTATCGAAATTTTTTACATCCTTAAATTATGATAATTTATATTATAAAAATTAATAGTTGAAAATTAATAATTAATTAATAATAATTTTATTCTTGCATAACAAAACTTAATTTTAAACATTTATCTTCATTTAATATACCACAGGCTATGAATTGTCAAAAAAGGAACATGCTGTGGGCTCTCCTGAAAAGCCTCTTTCAGATTTAGGAAAACTAAGTTACAGAAGTTATTGGTCATGGGTTATTTTAGAAATATTGAAAAATTATAAAGGGGCCTTATCTGTCAGAGAACTAAGGTACGTAAATTTTAAAAAATATTTGTTGTCTTGAATTTGTTTTTCATATTTTTAAAGTTACGCATTTCTAAAGTAGCTGTATTAAATTTTGAAGTTATTGTTTAATGAGTTGGACGATAGGGTTTAAATTTTAGATTAGAATCTTCAAATTTGGCAAATAGTGGTAATAATTCAATTTTCAATGAGACTTTTTTTTTTCCTTTATTTTATTCTAGCTAAACGTTGAACCTAGGAATGATTAAAATATGCAGCACTCCAGAAATGTTTTTATATTTTCAATTATTCAAGAACTCTTATGCAGTAAATTAACTTTTATCTTTTCATCATTTTTAGTATAAGGGAAAAAATATGATTTTACCCTGTCAGCGAAATGTGTAATAGTAGCAGTATAGCAAATAAATGTATGATATGTTTAAAGATAATAATTCACACTAAATGTAAGTTGTTAAATTTATAAATAAATGTATCAATTGTTTTGCTATAGAAAGCTTGTTTCTTTTGTTATAATTTTTTTCAAAAAAGTCTACTTTTTTTTTCCATACATTAATTATTGAAATTATTTGCTTTATAGTATACCTACTTTTTATTGGCTGTTAATTCATGTCTATAGTATTTAACTTTTTTATATAGTTGAAAAATGTTTTTAAAAGACAGGGTTCTTGCTGTCCTAAAATGTCCTAAAAAAGTGCTAAAATTTTTTCCCAACTTTTTTAGGGCCTAAAAGGTGCTAAAATTTCTTCTGAGTGCTAAAAAAGTGCTAAATATTTTATATTTTGGCGTTTTGAAATTTTTTTTGAGCGGTCGGATTCCTTAAGGGGCCGTTCAAAAAGTACGTACACAAAAATGGAGAAATTTTAAACCCCTCCCCCCCCTTCGTACATTACCGTACATAAGGTCTTACTCCCCCCCCTTAGAGTACGTACATTTTATTAGTCTACCCCCCTTTTTCATAAAAATTAAAATAATTCTGTTTTAAATAAAATTAAATATTTATTTAAGGAGTGTGTAGGAAAAAGTCAAATTTAAATTTGGTGTATGCTTATAGTGTACGTACTTTGTATAATACCACCCCCCCTCCCCATCGTACAAAACCGTACAAAATAGCGAATCCCCTCCCCCCCTTCGGGATGTACGTACTTTTTGAACGGCCCCTAAATCGGTTTCCCTAAATCCTTAAATTCTGTTGCCTTTGGCTCTTCTGCTGCCTCCATCTTTTTTGAAGATTCTTGGGCTTTGGGGAAAGAAGTTCTTTCTTCTGAGATTTTATGGGCTTTGAAAGTTGTAGAAAGCTACTACTCCTACAATTCTTGGTACTTGATACTCCTACAATACACTGGAAAATTATTTAGTACAATGTTTTCAGACAGTTCAATAGCACGTCATTTCGCCTGCAGTGAATCTAAGTGTGCATATCTCTGTCATTTTGGACTTGCACCTCATTTTAGCATGCTACTTCTGAAGTGCATTGATAATGCCAAGTTTTATACATTGCTTTTCGATGAGTCTTTGAACAAAGCGACACAGCAGAAGCAGTTGGATATACATATCCACTTTTGGAACCCAGATAAGAACATTGTAGAGACGTGATACTTAACATCAGCTTTTCTGGGCCATTCTGCAGCAGATGACCTTTTAGCCTGCTTTTATTCATCAGTCAAAAATGTAGACCTGAAGAAATTTAGGGCTGATTGTGCTCTGGAAAAAATCCGGATTTTTCGTTAACTGTTATCCGAAAGTTTCCGGAGATCGAAGGTTCAGATGTTTAAAGAAATCAGTGATCACAAGAGATTTCGGAAATCAAATTTTCAAAGGTGGAACTTAAAAACGCAGTTTATTTTATTTGTTTATAAGAGAGCTACTTTATAAGCTTATATTCAAGATTAATATTCATTTTTTTATCAGTAAATAGTTATTATAATCATAAACTCAAGAAAGAAAGACATATTTGTAAATTTCAATTGCTTCTCCAGGTCATCATAGGTATGTGTAAAATTTTAAATATATTTTAAGTAAACTAGGAAATATTGAGAAAAAGGAAAAAAAACTTGTTTAAATTTTTTTTCTAATTTTTCGGTTTAAACTTTTTTATTTATTTATTTATTTTTTTACTCAAGAAATTACACAATCATCCCTGCAAATTATTGCAGATTTCTATGAACTGTCCTGCTGTCAATTGGAAGTTTTATAATAATATTCAAGAAGATTTGTTAAAAGAACATGGTGTTCAATGCAATGCAATAGGAAGTTGTGGGCTTCATATTTTAAATAATGCATTCTACAAAGGTGAATCTGAAACAGAATGGCTCACTGAAATCTTATGTGAAAAATGTTGGCAAGTTTAGAAAAGTGAAATGTAAATCCTTTTTAACTTTACAAGAAGTAATAAAAGACAAATTAATTCTTGTTAAGCTGAACTTTCTCTTAAATGTGTCGGAGCTAGTTTCACCATTTTTGAAACTGTATCAAGCAGATCGGCCACTTTTACCATTTTTTGCTGCAGATATCCAGGATTTGGTATTACATAGTGTGCAGTTATTTAATATTCTGAAGCCAGAATCTATAGAAAACTTAAATTCTCTGAAGAAACTGTGCCATTTTAATTTTTGTGATGAAAAGAATTATGTCTCTCTGACAAAAATCAGTGTAGGTTTTAAAGGTGACCAAATTTTAAAGCAGCTGTTAGCCTCAAAAGTTATTTCTGACCGAGATCATATGAATATAAAGAAAGATTATAGAAAGTTTATCACCAAAATGTTAGAAACTTTACTGGAGAAATGTCCAATAAACTATTCTGTTGTAAGAAATGTTGCTTGCATCAATCCAAAATTAATGTCTGAAAACAAAAGCAAGTGTGTTCTAAAAATGAGAAACATATTAAATTACTTAAGTAAAAAAAGAAAATTGAGGAAAAAGATTGTGACAAAATTAAGCCGCAATTTGCATCATGTATATATTAATTATACAATTTTTACTTCATGAATCGTTAAACACTTTATTTGTACATTTTTAGTATCACGTATAGTTTAAGTATGTTATTTTTACTTTACATCAAGTGCTAATTTTTTTTTCTTAGTCCTAAAAAAGTGCTAAAAAAGTCCTAATTTTTTTTTTAAATAATTGAGCAAGAACCATGAAAGATATAAGTTATCATGATTTTAAAATCTATAAATTTTGCAAATATGTTGCATTTAATATATTTTTATAACATTTTTATGATACATGTTGACATTTTCTTTCTTTATAATCGGTTTTATTTAAGGATGAGTTTTGATATTTAATGCTTTCAATTTTAGTATGATGACCAGTATCACTCATTGTGATATAATTAGTACTTTACAAAGTTTAAATATGGTAAAGTATTGGAGAGGCCAGCATGTTATATGTGTTACTCCTAAATTAGTTGAGGAGCAGTTGCACAAATTATATTGCCGTAGGCCAAAAATAACTGTTGACACTAGTCTTTTAAGATGGGCACCTCCAAAGAAACAGCTGAAAACACTAAAAAAATAAACTATGCAGTAAGTATATTAAAAATTATTTTTGAATTATTATATTGTGTTACCAGAGTAATGATTGCAAATATGCTTGAAAACATATATAGTCAAACCTCCATCTGTCAATCCCAAGTATTTTGTTTTCCCAAATGTATCATCTTGTTTTAACAGTTCCATCACAAATAGTTTTTATAAAAGTTAATAATACCTATTTAAATCAATTTTAAAACTAGCAAGTACCTGCATCAATCATTCAAAAATTCTACTGACTGTTTAAAAAAAAATTGAAATTATTTCATTTTGGGAATAAAAACAGTCCTATTGCCAATGAGTAAGAAAAAAATAAGGATTTGTTAATGTTAAGGGAAATCATTTCGCACAACACATTTTTTGTTAATGAACTGCTAAATGATGCTTATAAAGACAGTGAAACAGTACTAAAATCAGTACCAACATTTATGGAAGGCATTGAAGCCTTTGAAACAATTAGGAACTGTCTATATTCACACGAACTTACGAAAAAGGAACTATAATCTGTTACAAATGTCGAAAATGTATTATTAGAGCTGAATGATAAGAGCATGTTCAAACCCTAAAATTTCTAAATATTGTAAATAAATAGTGTTACTCATATTTCATTTGCTTTGTAAATATTTTTGCACAAAGTACTTAATATTTTTAATTAGAAATGAGAAATTTTACCTTATAACCAATATTTAACAAAAGATTCATATAGGGATTTTATTGTTCTAAATGTTACGTTTCTATCTCCATATTAAAGTAATTTTGAGCCCTCAAAAGATTAAGTAACTCCTGCATCAAGCAACAAACAAAGGGCAAATTTGCTTATGTATAAAATTCTTTCTGTGAAATCAATGCTTATTTATGTTACACAGAAGGAAAAAAACATGAAAACCTCCCATGGATTAGCCCGATGGTGAGAGAACTTAAAACCAGACTGGTTGGAAATTGAATATATTGGGCAAAAGAGAGAAAAACATGCTTTTTTGTAAAAATTTAGTTTAAAGTAGACTTAGAGGTTGAGCAGCTCAAAAGAGTAGAGTATTGTACCCAAACCCAAAATCATGATCAACAAGAAAGCCTTATGGCTAGAATAAAATTCAGCAAGCACCTAACAGGAACATTTTGCAGTTCCCAGGCCTTAATGCTGTGTTGCCCTAAAAGCTCAAATCTTTGAGCGGAATAGACCTCACAATCACTAAGTATATGTCATGAAGTCTTCTCTTCAAGATGACAACCCCAACAAAGAGGATTGGATTCACTACTGCATATAGGTTCCTCCTGAGGATGCAGTGTCTAGTGAGAAGACCAATGATCTTCCTCAAACTGTTCCTGTGTAGCTTAAGAAGCTCTTTTTGACGTTCACTGGGACAGTCATGATTCAGCTCCTTAGCTTGTATCTGACCACCTGTGTTACGCCATTGCTCATGGGCAATTTTGCCATAGAGCTTGAGTATAGATGCCCTGAATGATGTAGAAGAAATTTCCAAGGCTGGTTCAGGGTCCCTGAAAATCGTACTAGAGCCAGCTTGTGCTCCTTCATCAGCTAGCTCATTTCCAAAAATACCCATCCAAGTACCCAATGTAGGTGTTGCGGCAAACACTAACTCCAATTAGTTTGCGCCACCAAAAGTATTCAGAATATGTAGGTTACTCTGAGCATGGCAAGAGAAAAAAGAGAGAACTGAAAATATCGTTGAATTGGCTTTTTAAAATATCTTTGGAACGCTGTGTTTTGTTTTGTTTTTTGTTGTTTTTTATTTAAAATAAATGTTTTGTTTTGCCTGTTTTTAAACGTTATCAATCAATAGACAAGATGCCTCTCACAAACACAGTCAATCCGGTTAGGAACGACAGTAGGTATACAAGGCCGTAGCCAGGATATTTTTCGGGGGGGGGGATATGGTAAGAAGCACAGACACTTTCAGACATGCAAAGTAGGGGAAAAACATTGTAACAAATATTGTTTATTCTGTTGTTTGCAAAAGTTAAACTAGTAATTAAAAAATATTACATAATAATTATTTTTCAATTTATATTACATAATAATTATAATCTATTTGTAAACAAAATTTACAAAGACATGCTACGGAGATTTGAAGAAAATTTTTCGATTACTTTTTTAGGACGAACCGGAATATCCTGAAATATGCTTAATAAAGTTTGCCCTGTTAGCCTTTCTTCTTTAGTAACATTTCTTGTTGCTGTTTTTACATGTTTAAGAGTAGAAAAAGTTCTTTCTGCAGTTGCTGTGGTGATTGGCAACGTGGCCAATATTGATAACAAGCAATAACTGTTTGGGAAAAAGATACTGTCACATTCTTCCATTGCTGAAAGTGCCGTATCTGGTCTACTAAGGGGTTCACGCAGGTTCCACTTTGATGCCCATACTTCCATTTCTCCCATGAGGTTTTCAATGTCAATAAAATCTGCGTAGATTCGAAAATTGCATAAATTAATATTAACATTATCACAATACTTAGGTAACACTTTATCGAGAGATGCAAGAGTATCTTCGTGCTTCAAAAATCTTTCAATCAGTTGGGCAGCGAAATAATTTAAAAAAGGAATGTATATATTTTGACGGAAGTACTGGTCTGTGTTCTGATTTTTTATATTGCCACGGTGATTTTGATAAGATCCCAATCTAGGAAGTTTTACATCTAGATCCAAACTTGTGAGAGTATTAAGGAGTTCCGAATATAGCTTTTGAAATTCATACTTGGCATTTTTTCTTCTGTTTAGAACTGTGTTGTTTATTGATTTTACGTGTATCAAAGCTCCATTCAAGTCTAGATGAATTTGGAGTGCTTTGCTCAGTGGGAGAGTCATAGAAAAAATATCGCTACAAACAAGTAAAGTAAAGTAAAACTCACTTTTAGTGATAGTAGAAATAAGATTGTCCGCTTTAGAGGAAGCATCGCAGTTTCCAGAAGCCTTTACTTCTTTGAGAAGTTGAATTATTTCTGGATAAAGTTCTTTAAATCTAATGATTGCATCATGGTTTTCTATCCATCTTGTTTCTCAAAAAGATATTTTTTTTAATTTTTCATTCGGCAAATTCGTTTTGATGATGTCTTCTAAAATTTTTGTTCTTTTGGCAGACAATTTGATGAATTTTGTTATTGTTTTAACTGTGTCAACACAGTTTCTAATAGCTTGAATACTACAAGAATGACTAATTTCTAAATTCAAGGAGTGTGAGGAGCAATGTACATAAATAGCTGTTGGGTGTTATTCTTTGATGGCTGCTTGAACACCATTAAAGTCCCCTCGCATTGCAGATGCTCCGTCGAGCCTTGTCCGACAATTTTTGAAACATTAACTCCTAAATTTCTTAATGATTTTTAAATAACACCAGCTATTCCGCGTCCAGATGAGTCAAAAATTGGAACGAATTGGAGAAAGTCTTCTCTGACAATTGGCTCATCACCTCTCACATCGATGTACCTTGCACAAATTGTCAACTGCTCAGTTTGAGTTATGTCCATAGTTTCGTCTGCAAGAATAGCAAAACAGCTTGTTTTATTGATTCTATCTACAGTTGTCTCTGGAATTGTACTGGGAAAAGATTTGATTCGACAATTTTTGTTTTTCTTTTTACTGAGAGGCTCACAGAAAGACTAAAAAGTTTGAATCCCAGAATTTCAGGGGGATTTGTCCCAACGGTCCCCCCCCCCTGGCTATTGGCCTGTACCCTTGCCTGTATACCTTGTTATGAGTAGAGAGGTCACAAAGGTCCAAGATGCACTCCCACACTAGTAAGGAGGTGGATTTACACCTCGATAGTGATAGGAGAGCTTCCTGACTGTCGGAACAGATGTGGATAAGCATATTTTGTTATCCCCTGTCTAAACATATCTTGCAGCACAAGATAATGGCATAGACCTCAACCTGAAAAGCGTGGCATAACTACCTAAGGGAAAGTGAAGCTTGGTACCATCAATGGAGCAATAAATTCCTGCCCCTGATTTGAGACCAAGCCTTGAACCATCAGTGTACCATATTAGACATTTGCCTTCAAGCCACTTAGGGGAATTAAGCCATTCATCTCTAGTTGGAAAATGGATCTTGAAGGGCTTGTAAAAAGCATATCTTAGTGACATATAATCATTAGGCATAATAAAAGAGGGAATATCCACCACTTGTGAAACAAGGTAACCCCATGACAAGTGTTTGGAATATTCTTTCCATGAGTCAAGATACATAAAACGCTTAATGCCAGTTTGAACTTCAACTTCAATACGTTGATTCAATGGGGGAAGCCCAAGTAAGCTTTCCAGAGCAGCTGTAGGAGTGGTCCTGAGGCAGCCAGTCCCAGACAGACTGACAGAGCTCAACCTTGTCCTTGACCCACAAACAATTGCACTATATGTGATGATAGGACTAATAATCATTGAGTATATCCAGTAAACTATCTTGAGGGATAATCCCCAGGTTTTACCAATAGCATTTCTGCAGGACCGGAGAATCTTCTTGGCCGTATTCTAGATGATAACGCTAGTTAAGTTTAGAGTCGTAATAAAACCCGAGAAACTTAAAGTAACTGATGATCAATTTTATTCATACATGCTTTTTTTCGATATGGAAATATTTTCCCCGGCCCGCCCTTATTTAGGGCATACGGGTAAATGTTTATTAAAATCAAAAAAATCCAGAAAACAGTACAAACATAAAATACATTACATATCAGACATGGCAAACAGCCCATGAACATGGCGGGCGCAGAGCAGCAAAAATCATGTAAGGTGATAAAACATTAAAACAGCAGTATATTAAAAGTGTCAGTTAAAAGAACAATTTAAAAGATAAACATGCAAAGTTTACAAAGGAGCAACATAGTATAACATATTAAAACAGTACTTTTAAAACCAATTATATAGTACAAAAGTAATTACAATAAAATTGGAGCAAGTAGAAGTAGAAGAGTTAATAAAAGACATAGTAAAAGTTACAAAACTATACCATCAATAAAATTGATACGCTCAAGCTGGAATGAGCAG